AGCAAACAACCCCTGCTAGTGAGCCCTGGGGGGCTGGAGAGAGCTCAGAGCTGCTCAGTTCTGCTCCAGCAGGAAACCTCCTGCTGTGGGTCGATGTTCTGGAGAGCTGGCTCAGGTGCCCACACAGATTGCAGTGTCTCCTGTGCCTGGGGCCACTTCAGCTCCTCCTCAGGTGATTGGGGTCCCTGATGGCCTGACCAGGAACTGAGAGGCGCTCAGAGCCACGGCAGGCACCAGGAATGTGCAGGACCTGCACAGATGTTCTGCTCCTCTGACAGACCATGGGCCTGCATAGACTAAGCCCAGATGCAGTGGGAAGGCAGAGGAGCAGCGTGTGTGTGTCTGTCCCATCTCGTGCCTGGGCTGGGAAAGGGCTCATGGACCTCCAAGGACATGTCATGGTGGGTGAGGATGAGAAGGATGAGAAACAGACTCAGTGGGGAAACTGAGAAGGGTTAGAGATAGGGGATGTAAAGAGAAGAAAAATAAATGAATAAGGACAGGCAGCGGAGAGAGAAGATGCAGTAATGTGAGTGCATTGTATATGAGAAGTTGATGCAGCAAAAGATTTGCTTGAATGGAAAGGGCTTGAACTATTCTCAGCTGTCACTCCTATAGGAATCCATGAGACATTAATTTTAAAATGGACAGTTCTTTAATTGCTGACTAACACTTTTCTCTACACTTTTTAACATTTCTTTTTCAGTCTCAGAAAAAGTCCCAACAGAAGCTGCATATTTTGGAGATGAAAGTTGAGAATTGTGATGAAATCTTGTCCTCTTCCACACAGATTTGCAAGACTGCTGCAGTCCCACACTTTGGAGAGCAGTGTGTTCTGTGTGAGTGATAGAGGAGTGCAGTGCAGGCTGTGCAGTCTCACCTGGTGAGACTTGTCCTGGCACTGCACTGCATTGCAACAGAGTAAAAAAGCAGTTCAGGACAATGAGAAATCCTTGTGTAGTGGGTTTCTGTGGGTGGGTTTTGGTAGTGGGGGGTGGGGGCTATAGGGGTGGCTTCTGTTGGAAGCTGCCAGAAGCTTCCCCTTCTCCCATGGAGCCAATGCCAGCTGCTCCAGGACGGACTTGCTGCTGCTGGCCAAGGCCGAGCCCATCAGGAGCAACAGGAACAGCTCTGGGAGAACAGATTTAGGGACAGAAGGAATTGCAGCCAGGGAAGAGCAGAGTGGGAATGTGGGAACAGCAATGCAGACCCCAAGGGTGTTGCAGAAGGAGGGGCAGGAGGTGCTCCAGGCCCTGCAGCCCCTGGAGGAGCATCGGGGTGCAGAGACCCCCCTGCAGCCCCTGGGGGAGCATCGGGGTGCAGAGACCCCCCTGCAGCCCCTGGGGGAGCATCGGGGTGCAGAGACCCCCCTGCAGCCCCTGGGGGAGCATCGGGGTGCAGAGACCCCCCTGCAGCCCCTGGGGGAGCATCGGGGTGCAGAGACCCCCCTGCAGCCCCTGGGGGAGCATCGGGGTGCAGAGACCCCCCTGCAGCCCCTGGAGGCTCCCACGCTGGAGCAGGGGGATGCAGGAAGGAGGCTGTGACCCCGGGGCAGGC